GGCCATGGCTCACGGGCCCAGCCGCTCCGCGGCATGTGGGATCCTCCCGAAACGGGGCACGAACCCGCGTCTCCAGCATCGGCAGGCGGACTCTCAAGCACTGCGCCACCAGGGAAGCCCCCAGGGTTGCCTTTTTATATGAAGTTGTGGCTGTGTTGTTTATTCTCCACTTCCCTGTGCTATTTCTTCTCCACTTAACATTTTTAGCGGTTATAAATTCTCCAAAAGGTTACAGGTAAATATTGCCACCACAGGTGTGGCCCCAACTGACCTGCCTATCCCTCCCCCAGCACACAGAAAGCCTTCAACACACAGCTACTGAACAAGCGAATGAAAGAATGTTATTTCTCACACCAAAACTGGAAACAATACAAACGTCAGGAAAAGGTAAAATAAATTATGGTCTATCCACAATATAGATTAGGTTATAATATGTAGCCACTGTAAGTCATGATTTCGAGTACTATCCCTTCCCAATTTCATGAAAACAGACATAGCAAGTGAAGAAGAGACCTATATATATAATACGGTCACAATCTTGTAAAACAAGTTAAAATAAAATTAAGAGGTCAAAATTAACAGTTATGACTTGGCAATAGTATTGTGGGTGATTTTATTTTTTACCTTATGCTTTTCTCTATATACATTATAAATAAATAGTATATATATTTGAAAAACACACTCAGCTCCAGCATCAGATCCTCTGGTGTTTTCTCTGATGCTCCTCCATAAAGTTAAGCATTTCATTTTCATCACCTCCGAAAACAACCCTGTACCTATCAGCTCTAACCTCCAATCCCTCTATTTCCCCTGCCCCCAGCCATAAGCAAACCCTAAACCAATTGCCCTTCCAGGAAGCAAACTGCCACCCGAGGGCAGGATGTTATTGACATCCTAAGCGGAGCAAGAAGGTACTGTCTCAGGGCTGGAAGGGAGCCCCATGCTCACGCCCCACCCTCCTCTGATTTTTAACCCTAGCCAAATTTCGAGTCTGTGTTTGCAAGTGCCAGAAAGTGCCCGTCCCTGACGTCCAGGCAACTCGAACAGCAGCCCCGCGCCCCACAGGCCCCCACCTTGCCAACGTCACGGCCACTGAGCGCAGTGCCCCCTAGGGGCTCCTCTCCGCTAAGGAAGAATAGCCAGGACCTTCCTGCCGCTGGCCCGTTACCGGCCGGGTCCGGTTCTCCCGCCTGGCGCCCGCCCCTCCACCCCCAGGAGGGACGTGAGCCGCTGCGTCTCTGTGCTCAGCCGCAGCATCTCCGCGTCGCGGGAGAACCCGCGGCCTCCCGCTTCCGCCGCCTCGCCGCGTCGCCGCTGCGCCGCCCGCGCCTCGCCATGAGCGCGCGCCTGCCGCTCGTCCTGCGCCAGCTCGGCCGCCTGCAGCCCCCCGGGCCGCCGCGCCGCCTCCGAGAGCTTTGTCTCGCCAGCAGCGGCGGGGGCGGCGGATGTGGCGGCGGGGAGGGCCTGCTCGGGCAGCGGTGGCTGCGGGACACGCAGGCCGGGAGCAGCCGGGGCCCGGGCAGCCGGGCGGCCCCAGCGCGGGACTCGATCGTCCGGTGAGTGTCCGGCTCTCGCCGCCGCCCAAGTCCCCGGCGGCCGGGGGAGACCCAGGAGGTGGGGCGGCCGGAGCTCTCGAGTCTCGGCCGGGCCCCGGGGGCCTCCGTGGGGGCTTCGCTGAGCACGGGGTCGCGAGTGTTTGGTGCCAACTTTTAGGGGTGACGGCAGCTGGTGGGGGGCAGCGCGGGCACCGGGAGGGCGGGCTGGCCGCGCCGGAGGACGGAGACTCTTGGGGCCGGCCCAGGTCGGAGGGGCGGGGGGTGGGAGGGCGTGGGCATCCGCGGCGGGTGCTGCGCAGCTCAGAGCGCGCGCCTCGCTCCACGTGCACCTCCCGCCGCCTGCTCTGATGCCGGGCGCGGCGTGGGCAGGAAAGGGGCGGCGCGGCGAGGGGAGGGGCGCCCGTTCCCGCCCCGCCAGCCCGGCCGCCCGCCTGCTGGTCGGATCCGGGGTGGGGGCCGGGGCGCTGCGGGCCTGCGGGGCTGCGGCGGGGGCGCCCCGGGCCCAGCGATCGGCGCTAGTCTGCGCAGGGGCTCCGCCTTCGGGACGCTGGCTGCGGGCGGCGTACAGTGACTGCGGTGAGGTCTGCGCTCCCCAAACGCCGCAGCCTCCTGCGCGTGGGAGGGCTGCGGCCCGGCCCACCCAGTGACGCGCGGAGGGCGGCCGGAGAAGTCGGGGCTGTCTCGTTCCCAGCGTTGCTGCACCGTGGGCATGGAATCCCCAGCTCAGCCTTATTTCCAGAGTTCTCTCCCGAGCGAGAGGCGAACTCTGCCTGGGAGCCCCAGGGCGGCCTTCCGCTGTCCCCACCGGAGACGTTCGCGGGTCCCCCTCCACCGCCGTACCCACCCGCCTGGATCCTCACACACACCCTAGCCGCGTCTCCTAGCCCTTCGGTGGGAGCGAGGGGAAGTACAGCCTTGTCTGAGTGAAGCGCTCCGGACATGCCTTGGGGTCGCGGGAAAGCCCTTTCTTCCCTTCCCTACTCGTTCCAGCGTGCCATGTTACGGAGCGAGCTCTTCACGTCCATCCGCTGACATCCTCTTCTGTTTTCCTTCTAGCCTTCATTCTGAAAATGAATTTACCTTTTTACTCCCTCTGTTTCCAGGGCGCTTCATGATGTGGCCCATGACTCCAAGGACTCTAGTTTACCTTGTGTTCTCTCCGGACGTCGCGGTTAGGTCTCTTCCAGTCATTAGATTTTAAGCAGTGTACAGCTGAGCTCATCTTAAGGGGTTGTTACCAAACCGAACTGGGGTATCCTCGCCAGATGTGCAGCACACCCAGTCTACTGACACCGGGTTGTGACGTAGGCAGGTACAGTGTTTGTTGCAGGGTACCAAGCAGGGGAGTAAGGGACGCCTCAGATCCACTCCACTCCAACTTGGTCTTTGAGATAGAGGTTTTGGGGTTCTTTTGTTTGTTTGCCGAGCCACGGGGCATGTGGGATATTCCCCGACCAGGGATCGAACTGGCGCCCTCTGCGTTGGGAGCGGGGAGTCAACCCCTGGACCACCAGGGAAGTCCAACATTTCTTCATTGTGTTTTCAGCAGTCGGGATGTCTCTGCTTTATGCTTCTCTAGCCGGGTGGTCCTTGGCCAGAGGTCTGTTAGCTCATTTTGCCCTGGAGAAACAGCTTGAGTTTGTAGTTAGTGAAGATTATCAATGATAGCAATTTTAGTATATTAACGATGTTACCAGCAGCAGCAATTTTGAGTCATCTGACTCTGGTTGATTATTGCTCATTTAGCACAGGATTAAGGGGACAAGAAAAGGAATAAAGTTTTGGATAGAGAGATTAATCATAAACTGGATAAGAGGTTTTAGGGGGATTTGGTTTCAGGGTAAGGGTCCAAAGACAGCATAGGATGCAGAAGTCGCCTTCCAGCTAGAAGTTGAGGAGGCAACTTTTCTCACCCAGGGCAGAAAAATCTCTGATGAGAAACATCTGTGCTGCTTTCTAGACTTCTTGAGCCTGGTAACTCCTTGCTTGCTTTGCTTGGCACTGTAAGAATAATGGGAGAATAAGGGGTAACCCCAAAGGATGAAACAGTACACATGTGACAGGTTGTGGGGGAATCAGCCAACTTTATGAGCAGAGTTGGTGACAGGCCTCAGCTGCTACAGTCGTGTGCCCTTCATTTTATTGAGGGGTAGGTGCTGCAAGTGTTTCTGGGAAAATTGCTTTTAGGAGTGTTTTTAGCATTCAAGTGTAGCTTTGAGGCACAGAAGAGCACTGTACAATTATAAGAACAAAGGTAGAGTCCTTGTAGTACACCTGCTCTACAGATGAGGAAACGGGTTCCTTAGTGGCTCAGTGAATTGCCCACGCTAGCCAAGCAGAGGCCTGAGCACTGGTCCTTGGCTGTTTCCACTGGGTGCTTCAGGCTCCTGTTTCAACCCAGGCTCCTTGTTGAAAACACACATTCCCAGGCCCCACCCAGACCTAGGGACTTTCTGGGCTGAGTCACAAAGACTTTCTCTTTACCAAGCTTTCCAGATGACCCATATACACATTGCCAAGAACCACTTGGGACCCGCACTCCAGTGCCTTCCCACACTAGCCAGAAATGAGGACCCAGTATGGCCCAAATTCGCAGCCAGGAAAGGCAGGCATACGGCATGTCCTCAGCAGCATGTTGTTGGACAGAAGACTCTTGCTCATTTATAAGGTGATTTGTGGACTTTCACATATAGTCTGGTTTATCAACACAACAATACAGTTGTTTCACTGGGAATCAAGTTGCTTTATCCCAAGTGTTTAAAAACAAACCAAAACCTTCCTGGGTTGTAGACAGCTGCATGCCCATTTACTCTCTGTCTTCTAGCCCAGCTGACTGTGGGAAGGCTCATCCTGGATGAGTTTTGAAGCCTTTATTTAGTTTTCTGAGCACCCTTCTCTCGTCATCCACCTACAAGAGCAGTGCCTGCCAGTTACATTCATCAAATTCTTCTTTAAAACTGGGAGGAGTTTTGCCCCTGGCCATTTTGCCTTGTCCCTTTGCTCATGGCCATTTATTGCTGATGGGATCTGGCTGGAAGTTCCCCTTGCATTTTTTGAACGCTGTTGTGCATGCAAGACCCTGATGGAGACAAGAGATGATACTTAAAGGTGGTCTTAAGCACTGAAGCTTGGGTACTGCCTTGGCTAAGCCTTTTGTCTATTAATTGTGAGAGGAAAAAGAGCCAACTTTCTTTTTTTAATTTTTTATTTAATATTTTTTAATTAAAAAATTTTATTGAAGTATAGTTGATTTACAATGTTGTGTTCCAGGTATACAGCAAAGTGATTCAGTTATACATAAATGTCTATATGTATATAGATAGATATGTAGATATATCTTTTTCAGATTCTTTTCCATTATAGGCTGTTGCAAGATACTGAATATAGTTCCCTGTGCTATATAGTAGGTCCTTGTTGTTTGTCTATTTTATATATAGTAATGTGTATCTGTTAATCCCAAACTCCTAATTTATCCCTCCCCCCCTTCCCCTTTGGTAACCATAAGATTGTTTTCTATGTCTGTGGGTCTGTTTCTGTTTTGTAAATAAGTTCATTTGTAAGAGCCAACATTTTTTTAAAATACATTTATTTATTTATTTATTTATTTTTTGGCTGCGTTGGGTCTTAGTTGCACACAGGCTTTCTCTAGTTGCAGTGAGCAGGGGCTTCTCTTAGTTGCGGTGGGCGGGCTTCTCATCGTGGTGGCTTCTCTTGTTGCAGAGCACGGGCTCTAGGTGCACGGGCTCAGTAGTTGTGGCACATGGGCTCAGAAGCTGTGGCTCGCGGGCTCTAGAGTGCAGGCTCAGTAGTTGTGGCGCACAGGCTTAGTTGCTCCGCGGCATGTGGGATCTTCCCGGACCAGGGCTCGAACCCGTGACCCGTGCATTGGCAGGCGGACTCTCAACCACTGCGCCTGGGGGGAAGCCCTCCACCAGGTATTTCATGATTGTTCTCCCCCCCACCACCCTTTCCACACTTAGAGGAGCCTGTCCTTGTGCTAATTAGTTTCATTTAGAGTAGAAAACCTTCTAAGAAAATGTGTTGTATCCATCCTTCCTAGTCATTAACCTAGACCTGACTGTGTTGTTTTTCTTTCTTAATGCAGAGAAGTCATTCAGAATTCGAAAGAAGTTCTGAGTTTATTGCAAGGAAAGAACCCTGCCTTTAAGCCGGTTCTTGCTATTATTCAGGTAAGCTAATAATGTGGCTCTGTCTTGCTATTTTAAGATGTCTTTTATTTTAGAAGACAGTTGTACACAGGCGACCAGCTGCATTTCTTGTCACAGAAGTCCCACTCGGGCTTAGGGGAGGGAGGAGAAAGCTCCTGTGGAAATGTTGTCATTTCCCCCTTTATCTGGTCATTTTGCTGCTTCAGGACTACAGGTTGGGTACCAATCTGTTTGAGTCTGTCTCCTTTTGGTGCGGATAGCTTCCGGGGGTCAGGAGGTAGGTGCTCATGTAAGTTGCATTACACAGGATATAATGTGGTCCATTATAAATGCTGATCAGATGTGATTTGAGTGGGATGGGAAAAAACATTCCACTTTGTTTCTGTGGGAGACAGATGCTTGCTGAGACATGGTATTTGGTGATCTTACTACTCAGTCTTTTCAAGCCTGCCGTGAGTCTGAAGGGCCAAAAGCCATGGCATGGCAGGACTTGGGAGTTCCATGTCTATGTTCTAGCCACGGCCCCTTCATTGCCAGCTGCAGTTGGCACTGTTTGCCACCCTTATTGGCACATCCAGGTGACGCAGGTGCAGGGGAATGGTGCGCTGAGCCAAGCCTGTAAGGTCACACAGCCCAACAGTTGAGCTGCCTCTGTTGTCTTTCGTGCATGCTTAATGTATCAGAGTAGCAGCCTCTAGTTTCCTCAGCGCTGTAATTTCAAGACTGGAGAGCTACGCTCAAGTCACTTTGCGGCCTGCATTCTTTGGGGTCTGTTTCCTCACCCCCTACAAAGATAAGCAAGTGAGAAGAGTGGAAAGAAAAGCGAAACAAGAGCCTGGCCTCCTGGAATTCTGCTCATTGGTAGCTTTTCACCCAAGGGCAAGTCCTAAACACCCGTCTTAGGTGTCCTCACTTAGAAAGGAATGCTGCCTATGTGGCTGTATACGCCCTATGAGGAGTATTATTTTCAAAAGTGATATATGTTAAAGCCTGAGAAGCTGACATGTTGATAAATACCAGCCCTTAGTCCCCTTTTATGAGCAATAAGATTCTTTTTCTGCATTTCCCTATCATCTTTGTAGTCAGATAATGTATAATCACAAAATTAGTCTTTGTATTGTTCTGTACCTTTTCAAGGTATTTTTATGTTGTTATATTCTCCTTCTTGCTCTCCTTTCCCAAGGCAGGTGATGATAACTTGATGCAGGAAGTAAACCAGAATTTGGCTGAGGAGGTAAGGATTGTTGATTTTTTGAATGATTTTAAAAATTCATTTTAATTTTAGGGTGATAGATGCGTTTTCTCTCAGTGACAAAATCGCCCTATGCTCTCTTTGCAGGCTGGTCTGAACATCACTCACATCTGTCTTCCTGCAGATAGCAGTGAAGATGAGGTAATACAGCAGCACACTTAACCCTTATTTTGTGTTCCTCTTCAGTCCTAACAGACCTCTTAACATCTCTTAGTTGTAGTCAGAACTGAGCAAGCCTTTTCTTAGGGCTGAACTTTTAGAGGGAATAGTTCACCACTTTTCCCACTAGTGTAGATGCTCCTCGAGCTATCTGTCCCTTACCATGTTTCTTTTTTTTTAATTGGAGTATAGTTGATTTATAATGTTGTATTAGTTTCTGGTGTACAACAAAGTGACTCAGTTATACATATATATTTATATATTCTTTTCCATTATGGTTTATTACCATATCGAATATAGTCCCCTGTGCTATACAGTATGACCTTGTTGTTATCTCCTTACCATGTGTTTCTGTTGACGATGTGACCTATGATGTGGTGACTTTGGTTGTGTTTCTTCAGCTATAGCAATAGCATCGTCTAGTGGAAATTATCAGTGTCTGGAGGACGAGTTCTGGTTTGCAGTGTCCTGACAGGTTGTTTGACCTTGCTTGGACCATTCTTTGGTTTCTCTGGGTCTCAATTGCCCTGTCGAAGATATTTTTCAGGCTAACCTTTTGTGAATCCTTCAGTGGTTTTTGGGGGCAGCTGATGAAAAACCACCATAGGGGGGCTTCCCTGGTGGCACAGTGGTTGAGAGTCCGCCTGCC